ACAAATGTGCAACCTAAAAGGATCACAAGCATTATAAACAGAACCTCAAAACTCATTAGAAATCAAAAAAATACAAATAAAACAAAATGAGCTCACGTCTTAGATTGATTTAAAAATGAAAAAAAAACCTACAAAGCTGGGTGATGCCAATTGTTAGCAGAGACACAAAGATAAATCAACCTTCATACACTGGGTACAGTATTTCTGGAAATCACACTAGGAGTGCTTAAGGCTTGCACATCCTATAAATAGCAATCCCACTGCCAAATACATACCCCAAAGAAATTCTTATACATTCCATAAGAGGACATGTACAAGGACATCGTCACTATAGAATTTACACTAACAAAGATTAAGAGTCCATCAAAGGAAAGGCAGATAATAGAACACAATGAAAACACACTACAGAGAACTAGGCAACATCTAGAAGCTACTAACTAGATACACATAGATAATAACCTGAATGGATCTTGAAATCATAAAACTGAGTTTAAAAAATTGTGTAAGCTGAATAAGGCTATTATTAATGATTTATATCACCCATGAATTATGTGAGAAATCTGTATTTCTTCTGATTTTGTGCATTTCTAACAAACCTCTAAACAAATCTCAGAAATGGTTAAGATCGGTACATTTCCTATGGACTTGAACCAAAATAAACTTTAAAAGACCAATGTAAACAGGTGCGATTAAGAAAATTTTAAACTTCCAATAATCCTATTTTAGATGCTAACAGACATTAGGTTTCCACTACTATGTATATAAATCCTAGATGGTCTCAAAAATAGATATACCTGCAATGTTGATTACAGAAAGATAAATAAGGGCTATGGAAAAGAAGAACTTGTACCTTTCAATGTATCCTGTTGGTGTTTCTACCAGACCATCAAGTCTTTCTTGAAGGGCTGCAAGAATCTGAGGATTTTGCATCATCTGAACAGTCAGCTGACGCGCTTTAAAAAAAAAGGGCATCAAAAGAAGGATTTTATGAAAATATATTATGCTTTTTTAATAGGACAATCCAATCTCATGAAGTTTTCCTAACTGGCCTATAAATTGCTGGTATATATGAGTAGAGATGGGCAGAGGAAACTAAAGAAAATACACTCTAGGAAAACCCAACGTCCAGAAATAGTTGAGATTCCTAATGATCTTGTAAAGTACAGCATTTCTCAAGGCCACTGCCACAACCACTATGAACAATATCCTTTCTCTTCCTAGTATCTTGTGTTCACCCACCTTGCATTTTGGGAAGCTCAAAGCTTCATCCAGATGCCTATCTATGACTCTTGACAGTCTTTTGAAGGTAGATAATACATAACAAGTATCAGAAAATTGTAAATATAGTGATAGGTTTAAGTCTGGGAGAAAGATGAAATCAGTGACCTGAATGTTTATGTTTAATGCTTGTGTAGTGTAATTTCTGGGTATACAAATAATGTTAATAGTTGAGACAGTCAAAGGTGGTTAACTGAGGCCAAACAAAACTTGGTTATTAGTGGCCTTTAAAAAGTATACTCAATCCAAACATAATCTAGATTTATACAAAACAAATTATGTCACTATCTTCTCTTCATCAATACAGTTATACAAAATTGCTATTAATTTTCCAAATTATGTTTTTAAGGGTCAATTTACTTCTAATATTAATTCAATTATGACAATGTACAGCTGTGATAACCAACATGCATTTAGAAATATCAACATTGGTCACTGAGGATATAGTCCTGTATCTATTAAGAAAATGTTGCAAAATAAAAGCTGAAGCTACAAGTTCAGAAGCCTTTTCACAATTAACAGAACTCGCTTAAAAACAAAGTTAGGTCTTCTGGTACCTTAATATTCTTGGCCCAGATCTACAGGGCGTAAGCTAAAGCAGTACAATTCCCCACCACCATCCTTTTAAAAATTGTCTGCTAAATTTTGAATGATTTTTGCCAATATTTAACAGATAAGGGGTTTTTGGTTTGTTTGGTGGGTGGGTTGAGGGAGTGGATTTTTTAAAAGACAGACATACTACATGTTTTCTATATATTAAACACTAAACATACTGTTTAGAAGCACCACCAAAAATAACCCCACCACCACCACCTGTAACATTTCTAAATTCAGACAAAACTCACGGGTAGCTAGCTGGCTGACACAGCTACACCATGTGACTTCAGCAGTAATGACTCTGTCACACACAGAGACACACATACATACACACACACACACACACACACACACACACACACATACAAGTACTAAACTGGAGGTATGGACCAGTGGATAAAGTGGACATTGAACAGGGGTCCAAAAAAAGGGAATGGTACTTATTACTACCCTCTGGAAGACACATGCCAGCAGCCTCTGGCTCCTGAAGTAATTTAAAATAATACCTTTGATTTTTGTTTCTTCACCAGTTTCTTCTTCTTCTACTTCTTCAACATCATCCAAATCTTGATCAAGTTCACACTGTTCTTTGCTACAATATCATAGTATCACACCAAGGTTCAAATGTACCAATAACCAAAAAAAGTTATAGAAAAATTTAAATTCATTTTCTAAATTAGTATGCCTCTTTCAAAGATATGAAATAGGAAATTCGATAGGTAACTCAGTTTTCTAACTCATATGTAAACAAGTACAAATTGCAAGTACTTAAATCTTCATTAAAAGCAAGTGGTCAAATATAAAGTTCATACTTTTCAAGCTTTAAAAATTTGGTTTGGTAGGATTTTGGGGAATGTGACATCAGGAAGTATGTGCTTTCTACCTAATTTCCATTGACTGTACTCTTCCTTCTTAGTAAAAACATCCTCATTTTATATGGGATAGCAACACACCAAGCTAAAAGTCTACATTTTCCTAGTCTACCTTTTAGCTAGATCTGGCTACACCCTATGCTTTGGCAGCAAGATAAAAAAGCAGAATATAGAACTTTGAAGAAGTATCCTTATAAAATCGTAGACAGCTGGGAAGCCTTTTTGATCTTAATCTCTCCTTCCCTCCCATATAGTGCTGGCTAGAGCTCCAGCAACAAAAATGGACCAGGGTCACCCTAGAGAATGGAAGTCACCAGCTAAGGATAAAGGAGTCAGGAAAAACAGAAAGATCCCTGATCCCCGATGGCTGTCAAGCAACCATATCAGGCTGTTACTATCTTTGGACTTTCCTGCTTTTTCTGTACTTCATAGTGGAGGTATGGAAGAACAGTTAAGGAGAAGACCTCTGAGCCTACTTCTTGCTTAAGAGGAAAGCCAGGAAGATGGTACCATTGAGAGAGAAGTAATAAGATAGCATCCTTCCCATCTCATCTTAAATTACCAAAAATCTCATTGTTGAATAGGAGATTACATCTAGCATTAAAAAGGGGGATAGGCCAGATGCAGTGGTTCATGCCTGTAATCCTAGCACTTAGGAGGAGGAGGTGCAAGGATCGCTACAGCTCAAGAGTTAGAGACCCCATCTCTACAAACAATACAAAAATTAGGCAGGCATGGTGGCACAGGCTTGTAGTTCCAGCTACTCAGGAAGCTGAATAAGGAGGATCACTTGAGCCCAGGAGT